CCCTTCTCATTCGTTTCCCCCCAAATTTCGTCCCCACCCCCGCGCGAGATGTGAATGTTTACACTCGCCGCATTTGTCCCAAAAGCAGTTCACAAGTGTGACGAAATATAGCAGGCTACGAACCAATAAAAATCCGTCGCTTTAACCCTTACGTTCGCCAGCCCCGCTACCCAATCAGCAGAACCCTTCCCCGTTTGCCACTGTTACAAATCTGGATTTTACTTGACGGCTTTAAAGGGCCACTTCAATTTCTCATGGGAGATAATGTGTGATTTGGGGTGGGAGCAGACTCATGCGCATCATCGCAGAACCCACGATGCCCTAGGGTGCACGACCCCCAGTATTTGTAGCACCCGGACTCTTCGTTTTGTGCAGGCATATAGGATTCCGTGGGTTGGCAAAATCGCCCCCAGAAATACCCGTTTTGGTGGAATTTCAGGAAACTTGCCTGTGGTCAAGCGGCTTTGCACACCAGAGCACATTCCACTGCGACATGTGAGGGCGGATTCCTTTCATGTGTCATCCACTTCGGGTCAAATATTCACCATCCTGGATGGACACACGGCAGCAGTCGTGCTGATGTTTGCCGTCAACACTTTCTGTCAAGACAGCTCGATGCTTGCTAGGAATTTGCCGAGGTCCTTCCACGCCTGCTAAACCCCGGCTACAGAACACCAAGTACGAATTGAAACTTATATCCATCGATCCTTATAAAATACTCCTCACTACGGGTTCAGGGGTACAGAATTCAGGAAACTAGTTCTTTCAAAAGCCGGAATCAGGCCCAAACCTACCTTCTATAATTTTTGACATGAAGGGTAATTGCTCTGTTAGCCATTGCCTTGGTTTTGTGCCTTCGTCTGGTCTGGTGGAATTGGCGAGGCCCAATGGCTGACATCAGCGAACTGCTTTGCTGACGACTACATCACATGAAGTTGACTGGAGGACATGGTCATTATCATTCAGCTAGGTGAAATCGTCGATATTGATTGGTCAGCATTAAATTATACCGAGTTCCTTCCACCAGCTGTGTTCGCTGAGGCTTCGTTCACAAAATCCGCCAGCTGTATCTTCGAAAATCTGAACAAGACACCAAGATGCAGATTTCGTTGCATTCGAAAGACTCAGTTCACCGCCCCCGTACGTACCACCCCCTGCCTCAGTCAACCCCCACCACAAGACTGCCCAACTGCCGCCTGTCCGCGGACCGCGACGCGAGCTTTCGCACATTGCTTTCCCCCTGCGAGATCCACCGCCTTTCAGCCAAATCCCATCCCATCCATCGCTCTCCCACACCCCCATCCCCGCCATCCATCCCCCCTAGCTTCCCAAGAGCCAATTCTAAAGCGCGCCTGTTTTGCACTTGTACATTCATCAACTCTAGTCACCCTCGAACCTAGTAGAAGAAACCAGCTACGTGCTTCCGTCACTTGGTTGGCTCCCTATTTCGGACTCAGTTTGGGATGATAAAAAGCAGCTGTGATCCAGTTGCACGTCATCAATCTGCCTTTTTCGCGCTTTTTCACTCCTCGTTCTTCTTCAAGCTGAACTGACAGAGCCTCCACGAATTTATACACTCCTGGGTGTCACTATCATGACGTCGCCCTTGTGCTTTCATTCCGACGGAGTTAACGGAACACTACCCGCTGGTTTTCCGGGTTCTAACTGGTTCGCCCAGCACATCCTCGACGCTTGCGGCGGCAGCGGCGGCGGCGGCGGCGGATCCGCCGCGAACGGCGGCCTGCTGTTCGGCAGCGCACCGAGCACGCTTCTCACAGCTTCGGGGAATGTTGAAGCTCCGTCGCTTCCCGTCGCATTGTCACCCGACGCCGACGGTCAGTTCGTCGCCGCATCTGCCGCCGTGCCGCCCACGCCGATGACGCAGGAGGACGAGATCTTTCTGGCGCAGCTACAGGCGATGCTACAGGAGCCTAGCGGTGGCGCTGCCGGCATCAGCTCCGCCGCGACGCTCGGCTGTAGCAGCCATGACGACCACCCCGCCGCTTCCGCTTCCCCCGCTTCCGCAGCTCCCCCCGCCCCCGCCGGTACACTCGGCGCGCCAGCGGGCCAAATGTTCCACCTTCCCAGTCGGTTCCGCTCGGCTCAGGCGGCGGCGGACGATTCGCGGCGGCGCGAGCATTCCGACGGTGCCCCGTTACCTCTGCCGCTGCGCGCGGCGAAGAGCATGAAGACGTCTCCACAGTCCTGGCCCGGATCGCCTGTGCGCGCTCCGCTCAACGCCTCCCCGTCGCGTTTGGCCTGGGACGGCTCCCGTTCAAAGACGCTGCCAGCGGAAAGGTCAGATTTCTCCGGCCCGCGCCTCCAAGGCGCGGAGGTGAGGCTCGGCGGTAACTTCTCGCTCCTCGCTTCCATGGACGGCGCGAACGCGGCCTCCGCTGAGGGGACGGCGGCGGCGGCGGCGGTTTCGCCCAAGCGGAGCGCGTCTGGTGGCGGCTTGGGCTCCCTTTCAGACGAGCCGCAGCGGTCAAGCGGATCAGGCTCCGCTTCCGCTTCCGCCTCCCCCTCCCCTTCCGTGGTGGTTTCTGCTAAAAATGCCGCCACTCCGGGCGTCTCACGCGGGGAAGGTTCCGCGGGAAGGGGCGCGTCGCAGCTTCCGCAGCAGTCCAGCAAAGGAGGCGGAAGGTTCGGTCAGCAGATTAAACCTAAGAGCATGACCGAAAAGCACCGGCGGGAGAAGATTAGCGAGGGAATGAATCGGCTGCGGATGGTGGTCGATGCGCATGGTGACGTGGCATCTATGCTGAATTATGCGGTGGATTATATCCAAAATATGCAGGCGGCGAATAAGAGTCTGAGATTGGAGCTGTTGCGGAGGCAGCTGTCGTGCACTTGTAACGCGTCGAGCGATATCGGGGCTGGATCGCTGATTCAGCACCTGGATGCGCTCCAGAAGTAGGAGTCTGTATTGTTTAGTGTAGAGCTCGTAGCTATATTTAATGTATTATATTTCTATCAGGTTTCAACAACACATGCCATCTCTGAGGCAAGGAACCTACCTCATGCCACCATAAATTGCCTGAAATCGCCCGTGAAATCGCAAGGGCAAGAATGGGATATGTTACGCAAACTCAACTACCTACTCCCTCCTGATATTGTTGGCAGCAGTCTCCATATTGCCACAGGTTATATAGCACCTGTACTAGAGTAGAGAGCCATCCTACAAGTGATGAAATCAAACCATGGTTAAATAAAGTACAAGCTCCACACCAAACGTTTTTCTTGGAAGGAGATGTGACTATACTGAACCATCTTCTAGCTCCTTAGTGTCGATGGAGGGGAACGTGACTGCAATGAAGCTGCCGAATCGTGACGCGTAGAGTGTGGGGTTGACAGCGCTGATGGACGTGCCGTCGTACCGCAGCCTCTTGCACACATGTTCTGCTTTTTTCCGAGTATTGTACTCCTGAGAAAGGGGGTGGGGAAAAGGCACAGAGCAGAATCGCGACGCATAGAGCGTGGGGTTGATGACGGTACTGATGGATGTTTCGTCGTAGCGCAGGCGCTTGCACACATGTTCCGCCTTTTTCCTACACTTCTGAAAATGGTGACGAGGCTGGGCAGCGGGACAGGGGATCAGGCTTGATGGATGTGCCGTCGTAGCGCAGGCGCTTGCACACGTGTTCCGCCTTCTTGCACGCGTTGAACTCCTAAGAAGGGTGGTGAAGAGGAGGCACAGAGTGGAATCGCGATGCATAGAGCGTTGGTTTCAGGGCACTGACGGATGTGCCGTCGTAGCGCAGCCGCTTGCACACGTGTTCCGCCTTCGTGCACGTTTTGTACTCCTGAAAGTGGTGGCGAGAGACGGCCGCAGAGAGTGGCGAGAGGGCCGCAGAGAGTGGCCGTCGGAGTAAGGGACTGATGGACTATCTTTGCGGTCCAGCACAGCCTTTCTTGAACCAGCTCATAGCCCACAAACATTGCTGGCTCACTCGCACACTTGCTGCACTCTCATGTTTCACCACATCTATCACTGACCTGTGAGTTGACTCAAAACGAGGTGAATTTTGAGTCGACTCAAAACGAGGTGACCTTTGAGTCGACTCAAAAGTCACTCTCATGGTTCACCACATCTATCACTGACCTGCAAAATATCGATGATCCCAAAGTGCAGCACCACTTGGTACGTTTCTCTCTTTGCTGGGTCCATCACTGCCTTCCTTGTCCGCCTATCCACCCTCACAGCCGTCGCCGGCATGCCCTGCCCCAGCAACACCCCTCCCCCTCCCTCCCCCCCACTCCCTCCCTCTCTCCCGCTCCCTCCCCGCCCCACACTCCCTCCCTGCTGCTGCTGGTAAGCCGGTGGCAAAGGTGGAGCATTTGCCTTTCCATCCGCTCTTGCTGCTGATCCTCCTGCTGCTCTGGCCTCAGCTGTTGTTGCTCTCGTCCCTTCTCCGATCGCGCCTGCAGCACTGCCTGGTTTGTCTGTTGTGGTGGAGGCGTCTACTGGTGCGTCAGCCGGCAATGCATAGGAGGAGGAGGCAGGGGAGGAGGGCTTGGAAGGGATGGGGGCTGGAGGAGGTGGAGGGGCGGAGGTGGAGGCGACTCGTTGCCATGGCCGCAGCATATGGTGCTTCATCTGGGGTAGGGGTGGGGGGAGGGGGGTTTGGGGGTGATGGGAGGGATTGGGGTGGAAGGGTGTTACAGGGAGGCAGGGGAGGAGGGCTTGGAAGGGATGGGCGGGGGAGGAGGTGGAGGGTTGGAGGTGGAAACAACTCGTTGCCATGGCCGCAGCATATGGTGCTTCATCTGGGGTAGGGGTGGGGGATTGTGGGTGATAGGGTTGATGGGTGTTGGAGGCTAAGTTGCACTAAACGCTCGAAATCCGCAGCGTTTGTCGTATATACGCCACGTATATACGCTATACGAGCGTATAAACGCCATACGCTCGGCTGAAATTTTGGGGGCAGCCCGTCGAAAAAAACCCAAAAAACCGATCGCCACTTCGCGACGTGACGAAGCCAGCCACACTATTGCGAAATGTCGAGACCCCAAATTTTCGCCCAAAACCAACTTCCAACTAATCTGCCCCCCCCAACCGCACTGCACCCCAAGGCATCTACCTAACCCAACCAAACCTAAAACGTGCCCCTCTACCACCAAGCACACTATACCTAAACCAGATCTCGTAACTTACCAGCCGCGTTAGACGGCAGATTAAGCTACGATCTAACCTTAGGGAGCACCGTGTCGAGTCGTTTTTTAGGCAGCGCAATGTCGACCCCCCAGCATCCTCCTGTCGTAGCAGCTTCCGAGTCGTCTAACAAGTACGCACCTGATAGTACTCATGAGGTCTACAACCTTGACATGTCAGTTATTTATGCCTTAAAGGCTTAACTTTGTTCTCTGTTACATGTTGCAATGAAAATCTATGCCTCACACTACATTCCCCTTTTTCCCCCCTCCCTAGGCGCGGTTTTTTTCCCTGCCCGGGGTAAAAAAATTCACCTGCCCGAACAAGCGTATACCTAGCGTATACTAGGCCCCAAAAAAGCGTTTAGCGTGTATACGCTAGCGTTTATACGTTAGCGTATCAAACGCCATACGCGTTTAGTGCAACTTAGGTTGGAGGGGCACAGGGAGATAGGAGTGGTAACGGGGCAATTGGAATCGGTGATGTGGGGTGATTGGGGTGATGTGGGGTGATTGGGGTGATGTGGGGTGATGTGGGGTGATGTGGGGTGATGTGGGGTGATGTGGGGTGATGTGGGGTGATGTGGGGTGATGTGGGGTAATTGGGGTGGTTGGGGTGATTGGGGTGATGTGGGGTGATTGGGGTGATGTGGGGTGATGTGGGGTGATGTGGGGTGATGTGGGGTGATTGGGGTGGTTGGGGTGATTGGTGTTGCAGGGACAGAGGGAGACTAAGGGGTGGTGACAGGGGCAAGCGCATGGATGGGGTGGTGACATGGGCAAGCGCATGGATGGGGTGGTGACAGGGGCAAGCGCATGGATGGGGTGGTGACAGGGGCAAGCGCATGGATGGGGTGGTGACAGGGGCAAGCGCATGGATGGGGTGGTGACAGGGGCAAGCGCATGGATGGGGTGGTGACAGGGGCAAGCGCATGGATGGGGTGGTGACAGGGGCAAGCGCATGGATGGGGTGGTGACAGGGGCAAGCGCATGGATGGGGTGGTGACAGGGGCAAGCGCATGGATGGGGTGGTGACAGGGGTAAGCGCATGGATGGGGTGGTGACAGGGGCAAGCGCATGGAAGGGGTGGTGACAGGGGTCAGCGCATGGATGGGGGCCGGAGGGGTGGAGGTGGAGGCGACTCGCTGCCACGGCCGCAGCATGTGGTGCTTTGTCTGGGGTAGGGGTGGGGGGGAGAGGGGAGGGGGGGGGAAGGAAAGGGGATTTGGGGGTGATTGGGGTGATGCGGGGGGAGGGGATGGGGGGTGATTGGGGTGATGCGGGGGGAGGGGATGGGGGGTGATTGGGGTGAAGGGTGTTACAGGATGAATGGAGGTGAAGGGATCGGCTCTGGAGGGGCGGAGGTGGAGCCGACTCGTTGCCATGGCCGCAGCATATGGTGCTTCATCTGTGGTAGGGGCGGGGGGGGGAGGGGGTGGTGTTGCAGGGAGACAGGTGGTGTTGCAGGGAGACAGGATGGGCCCGGATGGGGGGTTGGGGGGTGGAGGTGGACCGTGGGAGGTGGAGGCGACTTGCTGCCATGGCCGCAGCATGTGGTGCTTCTTCTGTGGTAGAGATGGGGTGATGGGGATGATGGGGGTGGTTGGGGTAATGGAGGGCGTTATCGGGCACTTATGAGTTCGCACCTAAGCAATTGCCATTAAGTCTGCTTGCACACTCACACGCCCGCTCTCTCACATGCACTCACACTCGCACCCTCACACCCACACACACTCACACTTGCACACTCAAACACACACACCCACCTGGCGGAACGACTTGGGGAACGAAGTCGAGGCGGCACGCAGGGAGGCTTCTTCTCCTGCTGATGGGTCATCCCCTGCTGACGTGTCACCCCCTGTTCGGTCCTCTCCAGATCCTGCTTCGGTGCCTGAAGCACCTGCAGGGACAGGGAGGGGGAAAAGGGGCAGAGAGGGGAGGATGGGTGGAGGATGGAGAGAGGGGAATGCAGGGGGAATGCAGGGGGAATGCAGGGGGAAAGAGGGTCTCAAAACATGCATGAGGAGTCTATTTTTGAGGCGCCTCAAAAAGTGGGAATGGGGGAATTCAGGGGGAAAGAGGGGCTGAAAGCAGGGGATGCCAGAAGCAGGAAGAGAGGGCGCCGGTAGGAGGAGGAGGACAGGAGATGAGGAGGGAGAAGGAGAGGGAAGGAGGGGAGAAGGAGGGGAGAAGGAGAGGGAGAAGAGGGGAGGCGAGGGGAAGAAGGGGGAACGGAGCAGAAGCGAGGGAATTCAGTGAGGCAACAGCAGAAGGGGGAGGCATTACAAGCAAAGGAAGGAGGCATTACCAGCAAATGAAGGGGGCATTACCAGCAAAGGAAGGAGGCATTACCAGCAAAGGAAGGGGGCATTATCAGCAAAGGAAGGGGGCATTACCAGCAAAGGAAGGAGGCATTACCAGCAAAGGAAGGGGGCATTACCAGCAAAGGAAGGGGGCATTACCAGCAAATGAAGGGGGCATTACCAGCAAAGGAAGGAGGCATTACCAGCAAAGGAAGGGGGCATTACCAGCAAAGGAAGGGGGCATTACCAGCAAAGGAAGGAGGCATTACCAGCAAAGGAAGGGGGCATTATCAGCAAAGGAAGGGGGCATTACCAGCAAAGGAAGGAGGCATTACCAGCAAAGGAAGGGGGCATTGCCAGCAAAGGAATGGGGCATTGCCAGCAAAAGGAGGAGGCAGAGGTGCTTATTCGGAAGGTGCAGCGTCTGTTGATTCCAGACCTACGCTCTCTGCACCTTCTTAGGTCCAGCAGAGAGCGTTGGTCTGTTGATTCCAGAACTACGCTCTCTGCTGCACCGGCTGCATCCCCAAGTGCAGCAGCCCTGGCTAAGATGGACCGCCGGGATTGGCCGACCTGGGTCTTGAGTGTCCAAAACTATCTCGGCGAATGATGCAGAATGGAGAGAGAAAGGAGGGAGAAAGGAGGGAGAAAGGAGGGAGGAAGGAGGGAGGAAGGAGGGGAAAAGGAGGGTGTTCAGTGCTTACCGGCAGAAGGAGGAGGCAGAGGCGCTTTTTCAGGCGCAGCAGCTTCTCTCGACTCCAAAACTGTGTTCCCTGCGTCCCCCTTGGAATCCAGAACTGCACTCTCTGCATCCAAAAGTGCAGCAGCCCCGGCTGAGATGGACCGCCGGGACTGGCCGTCCTGGGTCTGCCGCCCCTCTGCAATGGTGACAGGTGGCAGCGCCGCATTGGTCGGGCGGAAGTGCACCCCGAGCAGCAGGCTGTAGTCCATGATGTTCTGGCGCTCCAGGAACGCCGAGTCCAGAGCGATTTGCCTGGAGGCAGCAAAGGGGGGGATAGGCGTAGAGGGACGAGGGAAAAGTTGATGAGGAGGTGCCTCAGCGTGCCCGCAGCAACAGGCTTGTGGTCCGTGATGTTCTGGCGCTGGAGGAAAGCGATGTCTAGGGCGATTTGCCTGGTGAGATAATTTAGGGGGAGACAGGAGGGGGTGGATAGGGGGGAGACGGGAGGGGGTGGATAGGGGGGAGACGGGAGGGGGTGGATAGGGGGGAGACGGGGGATTGAGGGGTAAGAGTCGGCTCGGAAGTGCACCCTGAGGGGCACTCTCTCCCCCCTCACTTGTGCTCACTTGTACTCCCCCCTCCCAACACCCCCTTCAGCTCACCTGTGCATGAGGGCACGCCAGGAGGCCGGCATGTGAAAGCAGAGGTCTAGATCTAAGTCCTTTAGGGTGGTCGTCTCATCCACTGCCACCTTCTCTGTGCTGCGGCCGTGCGACGACCCCTTGAGGTCGAAGCGCCGGTGCATCCTCAGGTCCGTGACGAACACGTTGGCCATCACCACAAAGCGGATCAGCGTGGATGGCGACGACAGCACCGTGCGCAGCCGCCGCCGCCGCCGGTACCGCTGCTGCTGCTGCTGCTGCTCGTGGTGCTGCTGATGTTGGTGTGGGAGCTGATTCGTGGGAGCGGTGGTCTGGACAGGAACGGCAGTGTTGTTGGTGCTGGTGGCGCTGGTGGTGATGGCAGCATTGTGGGCGGTGGTACCAACACCAGAGGAAGCGGGGAAGAGAGCAAGAGACGACGGGTTTAGGCAGCCCAGAGACACCTCTGGAGACAAAGGGATTTGGCTTATGGAGGGGTCTGACGCGGTGATGGGGGTGCTGCCATTGCCTGCGGTGCTGCCAGCTGCGGTGCTGCCAGCAGCAGCAGTGCCAACAGTAGCAGCGCCAGAGGCATATGAATCAGTGGCTGGGGCTACTGCTGACGTGGCAGCAGGGGAGGCGGGTGATAGCTTGGTGTGGATGGAGGGGGAGGGGGAGAGGTTGGCGGGCTTGGTGTTGTAAACGCGGATAGAGTGTAGCCCGAAGAACTTGGTGATGAGCGTGTGCTCGCCGTCCCTCACGTGCGTGAAGTAATCCGGCAGCATTCTTTGGAGCACCTGCCATCAGACGTACAGAAAGCAACAGGGAAAGGGGTGGGGTGCAGCCCGACGCACTTGGTGACGAGCGTGTGCTCGCCGTCCCTCACATGGCGGAAATAGTCTGGCAGGGTTCTCTCGAGGACCTGCAACAGAGAGGGAAGACGAACGGAAGGGAAGGGAAGGGAAGGGAAGGGAAGGGAAGGGAAGGGAAGGGAAGGAGGACTTTGATTATGGGTGTGTGCTCTTGATGACAAACCGATCGCCATCCGAGCGATAGAACACGCCGCATTTTTTAGGCCCTTGATTTTTTTTTGGATGAACAGGCCATCGCCCGAGAGCTAAAACACGCTGTGCGACTTGCTCTCTTTTTGAGGCGCGTCAAAAATAGATGCCAAATGGATGCCATCTATGTGTGTCCCCTCTTTATGAGGCGCGTAAAAAAAAGACTCCTCATGCTTCGATCATGGGTGAGTGCCCTTGATGACGAACGAACAGGCCATCATCCGAGAGCTGGAACAGGCCATCATCCGAGAGCTCGAACAGGCCATCATCCGAGAGCTGGAACATGCTGCGGGACTTTCCCTCTCACCCTCATATTCTTTTCCACTTCCTCCTCCCCCCCACCCCCCCCCCCCAACCCCCCCTCCCCCTTTCTCGAAACCCCACCCAGACTTCTGAAGCTCCAATGGTCTTGATGATAAACCAGTCGTCATCAGACAGGTAAAGCACACTCTCAGCCTTGCCTTCCTCTCCGCCCACCTGCTCCCCGCCCCCCCCCCCTCCCCCCCTCCCCCCCATTCCCCACTCACCCTGACTTCTGACGCGCGCATGGTGAGCCAATCATCATCCTAGAGGTCGAATAGACTGTCGAACTTCCCCACTCACTGCCCCCCCGCAGTTCCCCCCTCCTCCCCCCCCATTCCCCACTCACCCAGACTTCTGACGCGCGCACGGTTCTGATGATGAACCGGTCGTCATCTGAGAGGTCGTCATCTGAGAGGTCGTCATCTGAGAGGTCGTCATCTGAGAGGTCGTCATCTGAGAGGTCGTCATCTGAGAGGTCGTCATCTGAGAGGTCGTCATCTGAGAGGTCAGATACACTGTCGAGCTTGCCCCCCGCATTTCCCCCCCGCACTTCCCCCCCACACTTTCCCCCCGCACTTCCCCCCCACACTTTCCCCCCGCACTTCCCCCCCACACTTTCCCCCCGCACTTCCCCCCCCCACTCCCCCTCCTCCCCCCTCCCCCATTCCCCACTCACCCAGACTTCTGAGGTGTGCATGGTTTTGATGATGAACCAGTCGTCATCCGACAGGCAAAAGACACTCCCAGTCTTTTCCACTTTCTCCTCTCCCCCCTTTCGACCCCTTCCCCCCTCCCCCTGTCCCGACTCCTCCCCACTCCTCCCCATTCCTCCCCTCTCCTCCCCTCTCCTCCCCTCTCCTCCCCTCGCCTCCCCTTCAAATTCCCCACTCACCCTGACTTCGGAAGCCCTCATGGTTTTGATGATGAGCCGGTCGTCATCAAAGAGGTCAAAGACACTGCCAGACTCGCCCCGTTTTTCCCCCCTCCCCCCTTTTCCCCACCACTCCCCACTCACCCTGACTTCGGAAGCCCTCATGGTCTTGATAATAAACCGGTCGTCATCAGAGAGGTAGAAGACGCTCCCGGACTTGCCCGGGGAAGACAGCTCCCTCAGTGCGTTGTCGCCGCAGAGAGACAGCGTGTAGTCCGCTGGGTCGATGCCAAACATGGCTCTCAATTCGCTGGTGCGAGCAGGGGAGGGGAGGGGGAGGGAGGAGACAGGGTGGAATAGATACTGTGAACCATCTAGCCGAGAGAAGACAGCTCCCTCAGTGCGTTGTCGCCGCAGAGAGATAGCGTGTAGTCCGCCGGATCGATGCCAAACATGGCTCTCAATTCGCTGGAGGCAAGCACAAGCACAAGCACGGGGGCCGGAGGAGAGTTGGGAGAAGGGATCAGTGAAAACTGTGAGCCATCTTGCCCCGGGAAGACAGCTCCCTCAGTGCGTTTTCGCCGCAGAGAGACAGCGTGTAGTCCGCTGGATCGATGCCAAACATGGCTCTCAGCTCACTGGACCAAGCAGTTGGGGAAGGGAGGGGAGGGACTAGCATTTGCTTAGAGGCATCTTGCCCGGGGAAGACAGCTCTCTCAGAGCGTTGTCGCCGCACAGGGAGAGCGTGTAGTCGGCTGCATCAATGCCAAACATCGCTCGCAGCGCACTGGAGGGGAACACAAAGGGGGGGGACGGCAAACACACAGCTCACTGTGAGCCATTTCGCTCGGAAACAGACAGCTTTTTCAGCGTGTAGTCTGCTGGATCAAGGCCAAACATGGCCCGCAGAGTCCTGGTGCAAGCAGTTGGGAGGCCGAGGAGGGGGTGGAAAGGGGGGGGTGCTGTAAATATTGGGAACCATCCAGCCCAGGCTTTACGAGATGTCTCGCCAGGTGAAGGGGAGGGTGTTGTGGGGCGGGGTGGAGGAGGAACCCTCAAAGGGGAACCACATGGCCTCTGCTGCCTCAAAGTCTAGAGAATTGAGCCCTTAGGCAAGACTCACATGTAATGCTTGGGAATGGAGAGGCTCGCCTGAAGGGTTTGGGAGCAAAGTCCCGCCGCGTGAAGGGCCGAGTGTTGTGGGGCGGAGTGGAGGAGGAGCCCTCAGGCGGGAGCCACATGGCCTGTGCTCTGCTCGGCTGCCTCCAAGTGCTCAGTGCAATGCGTGGGGATCTCTCGGGCTCACCTGAAAGCTTTAGGAGCAAAGTCCCGCCAGGTGAAGGGGAGGGTGTTGTGGGGCGGAGTGGAGGAGGAGCCCTCAGGCGGGAACCACATGGCTTGTGCTGCCTCAAAGTCCTCTGGGCGGAGGTCCGCTGAGGCAGGCGCAGCTGGGGGAGGCGCAGCTGGGGGATGCATAGCTGGGGCAGGTGCTGCCGAGGGAGACGCTTCAGGGGAAGGTGTTACTTGGGAGGGTGCACCTGGGGGAGGTGCTACCCGCCCTGTGGAGTGCCTGGAGGGGTTGCGGGCGGGGGAAGCGTTGAAAATGCTGTGAGAGGAGCGAGCGGATGGGGAGGGAGAAAGGTGCAGGAGAAGGAGCAAGGAGAGGAGAGGAGAGGAGACGAGAGGAGAGGGAAAGGGGAGGGAAGGCACGTGGGCTCAGGAAGTTTGAAGCATTTTTGCGAACTTGGTATTTTATGCGTGTAGGGGAGGGGATGAGGCATGCAGTGCAGGTCTGCTTTGAGTCGACTCAAAAGCGTGCAGGGGGGGGATGAGAGGCGGGCAGGGGGGGGATGAGAGGCGTGCAGGGGGGGGATGAGAGGCGTGCAGGGGGGGGAAAAAGGCGGGCAAAGGGGGGGATGAGGCGGACAAGGGGGGGGATGAGGCGCGCAAGGGGGGGATGAGGCGGGCAGGGGGGGATGAGGCGGGCAAGGGGGGGGATGAGGCGGACAAGGGGGGGGATGAGGCGCGCAAGGGGGGGGATGAGGCGGGCAAGGGGGGGGATGAGGCGGACAAGGGGGGGGATGAGGCGGGCAAGGGGGGGATGAGGCGGGAAGGGGGGGGATGAGGCGGGCAAGGGGGGGACGAGGCGGGCAAGGGGGGGGATGAGAGGCGTGCAGGTGGGGGATGAGAGGCGTGCAGGGGGGAGATGAGAGGCGGGCAGGGGGGGGATGAGGCGGGCAAGGGGGGGGATGAGGCGGGCAAGGGGGGGACGAGGCGGGCAAGGGGGGGGATGAGAGGCGTGCAGGGGGGGGATGAGAGGCGTGCAGGGGGGAGATGAGAGGCGGGCAGGGGGGGATGAGGCGGGCAAGGGGGGGGATGAGGCGGGCAAGGGGGGGACGAGGCGGGCAAGGTGGGGGATGAGGCGGGCAGGGGGGGATGAGGCGGGCAAAGGGGGGGATGAGGCGGACAAGGGGGGGGATGAGGCGCGCAAGGGGGGGATGAGGCGGGCAGGGGGGGATGAGGCGGGCAAGGGGGGGATGAGGCGGACAAGGGGGGGGATGAGGCGCGCAAGGGGGGGATGAGGCGGGCAAGGGGGGGGATGAGGCGGACAAAGGGGGGGATGAGGCGCGCAAGGGGGGGGATGAGGCGGGCAAGGGGGGGATGAGGCGGACAAGGGGGGGGATGAGGCGGGCAAGGGGGGGATGAGGCGGGCAAGGGGGGGGATGAGGCGGGCAAGGGGGGGGATGAGGCGGGCAAGGGGGGGACGAGGCGGGCAAGGGGGGGGATGAGGCGGGCAGGGGGGGGATGAGGCGGGCAAGGGGGGGATGAGGCGGACAAGGGGGGGATGAGGCGTGCAAGGGGGGGGATGAGGCGGGCAGGGGGGGGATGAGGCGGGCAAGGGGGGGGATGAGGCGGACAAGGGGGGGGATGAGGCGCGCAAGGGGGGGGATGAGGCGGGCAAGGGGGGGGATGAGGCGGACAAGGGGGGGGATGAGGCGGGCAAGGGGGGGGGATGAGGCAGGCAAGGGGGGGGATGAGGCGGGCAAGGGGGGGGATGAGGCGGGCAAGGGGGGGGATGAGGCGGGCAGGGGGGGGATGACGCGGGAAGGGGGGGATGAGGCGGGCAAGGGGGGGGATGAGGAACCAGTCGCATCAAGGTACCACCCCCCTCACCCACCTGAGCCCCAGCCGCATCAAGGTGAATGGCGGTCATGAGGTCGTAGCTGCGATGGCCTTTATAGATGAGTTGGCCGCCTTCCTCCCTGCCCTACTAGTGGAAAAGTACTTGAAACCTCCCCCCTCACCCACCTGAGCCCCAATCGCGTCAAGGTACCACCCCCCTCACCCACCCGAGCCCCAGTCGCATCAAGATACCACCCCCCTCACCCACCTAAGTCCAAGCTGAATGGCGGTCATGAGGTCGTAGCTTCGATGGCCTTTATAGATCAGCTCGCCCGCCTTCCTCCCTGCCCTGCGCGTGGGACCGCGCCGCCTCTGGCAACCGAGAGAGAGGGATTTTGATAAGAGAGAGGCATGAATGAGCACAGCAGGAGAGACAGGAAGATGGGCAAAGGATGCACTTGTAAATAAGCTCGCTTTGAGTTGACTCCACAGTCAGCTCGCCCGCCTTCCTCCCTGCTCTGCGAGTGCGGCCATACTGCCTCTGGCAATGGCAAGAAAGGGTGGATGGGGGGTCGATTGAAAAGAAAGGCGTTGATCATCGCTGGATCTCAGCTTTGCATAAACAATCCAAATGCTCTTATAAACACACACAGATGCTGGGTGCCACTCACCACGAGGGATCTCTGACATCAGCACCCCCGAATAAGCACACACTGATTTAAGGTGCTGTGCTACTCACCACGAGGTCATGCTGCATCTTGGAGTGGGGGATCTCTGACACGCCCTGCACGCATTCCTCTACTCTGTCACCACCTTCCTGCTGACTGCTCACCCTATGTTTCCACACACTCATTCCAGGTACCACTCAACTCACCACGAGGTCATGCTGCATCTTGGACCGAGGGATCTCTGACACCATCACGCCCTGCACGTACTCCCGCACAGTCACCACCTTCCTTCGCCGACGGTGGTGCCTCTGCTTGCGGCCGGATGAGAACATGGCGCTCGAGCGGAGGGAGTCCAGGGCAGAGTCTGCGCCCGCCTCGCTCTCTTGTGCTGGGGGATGGGGAGAGGAGGGTAGGGTTCAGAAGGTTGGAAGGGTGGATCCTGCTGCTTAATTGTGCTGCTTGCGGCCGGATGAGAACATGGCGCTTGAGCGCAGCGAGTCAAGGGCAGAGTCCGTGCCTGCCTCGCTCTCTTGTGCTGGGGGGTGGGGAGAGGAGGGTAGGGAGAAAAGCAGGGGAGAGGGGTTGGGGTTTTTGACACACGCCGTCTCACCTATTGTGCTGTGGGAATGGGGGGGAAGGACCGTTTGGGGGATAGAGGGCGGGTATTAACTCACCATGAGAAGAGGAAGCGGGCCTGTCGTCAGCTGAATCACGGACACCATACATCCCACCGTGGTTGACTTTTGAGCCGACTCAAACTGACTTATGACTTTTGAATCGACTCAAAATGACTTTTGAGGAGGTGGGGGGGGGAGGTGGGGGAGGTATTGACTCACCATGGGAGGAGGTAGTGGGCCTGTCAGCTGAATCCCCCACACCAGCCCTCCCACCGCGGTCGCCTTCCCCTCCCGCCCTCCCCTCCTCCCACTCCTCCCCACTCTCCGACTCCATGTATGACCCATGATGATGCCCCATGGACCTGCTCCCACCACCGCTGCCAGCACCACTCCCAATGCCAGCACCACTATCAGCCTGGCTGCTGTTTTCCCGGGCGGGCACAGGGCCCATAGTGAACGCGCGACTCAGCTTATGTGCAGACGTTTTCGGAGGGGGCTTGTCCCGCCCACCACCACCAGCACCCCCAGCACCAGCAGCACCAGCAGCAGGGGAACCACCAGCGGTGGTAGCACCAGTGGCAGCAGTGCCAATACTGCTGCTTTGGAGGTGGTTGCTGCTGCTGCCGGCGCCGCTGCCGCTGCTGGGTTTGCTGCCTTCAGAAGACGCATGGGGGAGGTCGAGAGACGGAGCGCGGGGCTTCTCTGCTGCTGCTGACCTGGAGCGAAGAGACCAGCGACGCACGCCAGATGCTCCCTTTCCTTGCCGCTGCTGCTGCTGCTGCTGCTGGGTATCCCTGTCCTTCTCCTTTTCCTTGCTCCAAACCTTCCATATCTTGGAGCCTGCGCCATTCGCGTCCTCTTTCACGCCTTCGTTCGCTGCGCTCCCTCCTCCTGCACTCGTTCCCTCTGTCTTCTGCCCTGCTTCCCCGTCTGCCTCCGCTGTTTCACCAACAACAGCAGCCCCACTGCCTACACTCACGCCTCCCTCACTCCCATCTCCTACAGCCACCCCCCCTACAGGTGCACCGCCTACAGCCACACCTGCAGAAGCAGACTCTCCTTCCGGCCCTCCCCTTACCACATCCACTCCCCCATCCTCCCCTCTCTCCCCCTTCTCCCCCCTCCCCGTTCCCGCCACAGCAGCAGCCTCCTCTGCAATCCCGCCCATCCCCTCCTCCCCACCCCCCACACTCCCCTTCTCCTTGCAGCTCTCCCATAACCTCCTTCCCACGAGTCCCATCGCCCCCCTGGCAGGGCGTGGGACGCCGGGAAGCGACTCAGACTTACCTAATTTTAACTTGCACGCCGCCCACTGCCGCTCTAGCTCCTCCTTCCGCTTTAAGTCCCGCCCTGCCCCTGCCCGCCCTCCACCAATCACAGACACACTCCGGCTCATCTTCCTGACCCCGCTGCTAGGGGCAGCAACGCCGCTGGTGGTGCGAGGGGTAGTGCTGATTACGCCCGCGCTGCTGCTGGGGCGAATTGCATTATTACCCCCTCTGGGGGTGCGGATAGCACCACTGGTGGCCGGGCGATGATCATAATTAGCAACAGCGGCTGCTGACGCTGCTGCAGTGTCTATAGTCAGCCCTTCTCCTGTTGCCTTCTCACCCGGTCCAGCTGCTTTCTTGGCTCCTCCTCCTCCCTCCCCTGCTCCTGCTACTGCTCCTGCGACTGCTCCTGCGACTGCTCCTGCTGACACTGCTGCCCCTACACCGCCAGTTGTCACTGCTCCTGCCTCCCCCTCTTGCTGCTGCTGCAGCGCTTTCTTATAGTCCCCTGACCTCCACCGAATCGAGAGCCCCCGGGTCATTGCAAGCCCGTGTCCCAGCGCCTTTCCCCCTCTCTTACCGCCTCCTACACCACCGCCACCACCACCACCGCCGCCAGCAGCAGCAGAGGCGCCAGCAGGAAACGCGCCTGCCCCAGCACCCGCGTCACCACTACCACCACCAGCATCACTACCAGAAGCTCCTGCTTCTTTCTCCGTATGCCCTCCCTCCCCTTCTCCCCCAATCTCTGCCCCGCCCTGCCCCGCTTCCCCCTTCTCCTCCCCCCCTCCCCCACCCCCATCCTCCTCCACCCACTCCTCCTCTTCCTCTCCTTCCTCCTCCTCCTCATCGCACCCCCTCGGAAAGAACAGCCCTTTACCATCCTTCAATCCTCTGCTCCAGGTCCCTTCGAAAGAGCTCCCATCCGCCCATTTAAACGTGCCCGCGCCGTGCTCTAACCCCGCCTCCCACTCCCCCTCGTAGCTATCCCCATTCGCCCACGTCAGCGTGCCGTACCCGCTCATCTGCCCCCCCTCCCACTCCCCGAAATACTCATTCCCGTTGCTCCACTTGTACCGCCCCGGCCCGTCCGGGACCCCTCGGCTCCAGAACCCCTCGTAAACATCCCCGTTAGTGTAATGCTTCCTACCGAGTCCGTGCTTCACCCCAGCGGCCCAGTTTCCGGTGTAGAACGCCCCGTCGGGAGCCCAGTGAGTACCCACTCCCTGTAACGCCCCGTCCTTCCATTCCCCCTCGTACCGCGTCCCGTCCGGGAGTTCGAACCACCCATGGCCGTGCTTCCTTCCTCGATCCCAATCCCCCTCGTACAAACTCCCTTCAGCCCAGGAGTATCTCCCCGTGCCGTGCGGCACGCCTCCCGCCCATTCGCCGACGTATTTGTCGCCGTTCGGGAAGGATTTTCGGGTTACCGCTGCTCCTTCACGAAGGTTCGCCGGAAGATCTGGATCCGAGCCTCGCGAGGGGGACGGCGCCGTCGCAGCGGTGAGTGCTCGCGGGTTACTAGGTGCGGATGTGGTTACCAGCGCTGGGGTTTCGTCTACGTTCGTAGATGACGTTCGAGGTACAGGTATTCCTGCGGGTAGCGGTGCTATTGATAACGAGGATTGTGACGTTTCTGTTGCAGCGGAAGCCATTACCGGTTATCGGCTGGGTTTAAACGTTTGCTTCAGTTGACCAGACGATGGGAGAACGTCACGAAATGGAAGAAGCGATTACGCCGGATAGTAAACCCTTGAGCAGAATAAAAAGTACAATGGACCAGAAAGAAAAGCATTGCCTCTAACGCTCAATTGGCTAAGGAAAATAAATTCACAGCCTTGGGAGAAACGACGGCTGGTAAGAAGCAGGCTCGAAATCGAATGTCCCTGAAACCAAGGCCTTGCGGAGAACAGAGACAGGAATGTGAGCCGAAGGATCAATGCTCGCCACACAGAATGTGACGACGATCTAGCAATCACAACCACACAAATACTAAAAAAAAATGAAGGCTCAGTGGAAGAAGCTCACAGGAATGTCAGAGCTCTGGAGAATGGTCAACACTGCAGCTACAGAATTGGGAATGGAAGGCGAGATTTGGAATGGTTCTATAAATTTTCTGTGAGAGGGTGTCTGAACTGAAGTAGAGAGTTGATGCCAGCTAAGCTTAGCTGACGTCAAATCATCCGCAAGCTCAACGTCAAACGCGGACGTCAAACCAAGACGCAAATCCCAACTTCGGACATGCTCACTTGCCAAAGTCTGCCCAAAATGAAATACGGTAGAAAGTTTTCCGTCCGGGCAAGCAAAGACTTGGGAACCACCACCATGATGAAAGTTACCACGTAAAAAAAATCGTCATATCCCCTCCCAATGACCAGCAGGAGATTCGCGAATTCATTTTCGTTGGCTCGGTGGGTGCACTACGGGTTCTGTGGCATAATTCATGGGCTGCCCGCTAAGTTGTTGAAACAACACAGGGCGACCTCAAGTTCGACTACTGTATTGGGTATCCGGAGCCCTACTTCGGCCACCCCCGAAATCGGAACTGTAGCTTGTACAGTAGTGGTAACCCTCTTTCAACATCTGTGATGTCCCATCCAGGCCTCTCGCTAAGCCCCAGGGTATTCCGGAAGGGGACGGAATCGCCTCAGGATCACCCGTTAACAGACGGAATTCCCACAAAAAAACCCGTTACCGAAAGGTAGCGGCCACTACAAATTCGACTAGCTAGTGATCAAAGGCGGGGTTGGGGCGGGGGAGGGGTGGGTGCGTGGGGGAGAGGGGGGGTGAGGGGGCGGTCGCCACACCCTACAGATTGCCCTGCTACAAGTATAGCCCGTACGGATTCGAAAAAAAAGGGGGTTACTCGTTAGGCTAAGGAATCGCGGGAAACTGTTTCCGTAAGTTGGACGGATTCGGAAAAAAATCGCACTGTAAAAAAACGGAATCACTTGAAAAGTTACTCTTAATTTCTCGACATTAAGGATAATTACCCTGTTAGCAAGAGGCGTGGTCCCATCTGTGCTCTGATGGCGGCTCTGCTTGTCCGTTCCCTCAAGATTGCCGTTTCTGCGAACAAATGGTCCAGTCCAGACCAGGAGGGACTGGCTCTTTCTTGGCGGATGTTACGATAGACGGTTGTAAGGTGACGCGAACTTTGTCGCCTGATTCGCCAGAATCGGATGGCGCTGGTGGCGCGACGGTACGTCGCAGACCATCTCGCAAACCCTTCCCACAAATCGCCGAGGACCACAACTGCACCAGATATGAACAAAATGTATTATCTACCTACCTCCTTGCACCACGCATCAATACCTTCAAACGAGGTGCAAGTGACAAAATCGATTCTACACGCATCATTTACATGTAACAGAAGCCTCTACACCATAGGCGAAAAATTCAAGGCAGCCTTCCCGCGATTCACGCTGCTTCCCGCCAACAGAGAAGCACCCTGGTTCAGACGCCAGAATCCCTCCTGCAGCCATCCACCTCCCACTTCGTTCGGTCAACAAAGGGTTTGGCTCGTCCGAGGTAGTCCTCAAGATTTCCTGATCTTCCTGGGATAAAGTTTTGAGTCCTACGAAGATTTCCGTCGCTTGCAGGACTGTTCGCAAAGTGTTAATCCACTGGTTTCCAATGGCATCCCAGAAAGCTGCTGGCTTGGTGAGAAACTAATTTCACATTGCACAGAAATATGGTCAAATGCTGCAAACGAGTCCTCAAGCTTTCCTCCCTCAGGAGGAATCACCCTCCATATTCTAACAATCCTCCCTCCCCATTCTCCCTTGACACTTGCTGTTGACAACAAAACGGCAGAAAGTCGCGACGGCAGGTTAGGGTATGGATGGATTACGCCTTCGTCTTCAACATTTCTGGAAGTGTCGACGAGTTGTCTTAGGGGAGAGCATAGTTTAGGTTGTGGGCATTTTTCCCCTGTAAATACTCTTTGTTTTTCTTCACGACCGTTGAATAGATTCGAGTGCATGCGGAAGTTGAAATGCCGCCGGCTTCTTCAGAGTAATTCCTCAGCAACAGTATCAGCAGCGCGGAATCGCCTGAATTCCTCAGACCTAACTCACTCCGAGCATCACCATGGATTCTCATTTCTTTAGCCGCGGGAAAGTCGAACTCGTTTCGCTTCTGTTGGTTCTGGCTCCGTTAATCTCGCCTCACCCACATCAGCTCGTGCACGCCTTCGAGCTCGCCATTCCGCTCGAGTTCTACCGCGGCGATGGTACGACGCCTCACGCTTGACGCTTGACGCTTCTTTCCCAACCTTTACGTCTCATTACTCATTCCGCTCGAGTTCTACCGTGGCGATGGTACGACGCCTCACACTTCCTTTCCCAGCTTTATCTCTACTCGTCAAGGTGTATTTTGAGTCGACTCGAAATACACCGCCACGCCTTGGAGCTCGCCATTCCGCTCGAGTTCTACCGCGGCGATGGTACGACGCCCGACGCTTGACGCTTGACGCGTCACACTTAGGCGCTTCACGCTTCTGTCCTAACCGTTGCGTCTCCTTGTTTTGAGACATCTCGAAACCCATTCCCTCGAGTTCTGCCGCGGCGACGGTACGACGCGTGACGCGTGACACGTGACGCGTGGCGCGTGACGCGTGACGCGTTACAATTCATTCCCAGCCCTTATCTCTACTTGTCAGGCTTGCCTTGTCCAAGGCTTCATCTTCTCGTAGCGACCCTTGAAAACTAGCCCGTATTGGACATACGGTTCGTCCGTGCGAAGTGTCATTGTTCGTCCGTGCTGCTCCCCAGTTCGTGCAGTTGATTTTTTAGAGTTCTCAGCCTACCATCGCCACCTGAGTTCCTTCCTCCCTTCTTTCCTTCCTCCTTTCCTTCCTTCCTTCCTTCCTCCTTTCCTCCCTTCTTGCCGGCCTTGATAAAGCATCGCCGTTTGTTCCCTCAATCATCCCCCTCCCCCCTTCATCCCCCTCCCCCCTTCATCCCCCTTCCCCAATCTCTCCGTTCCCCACTCCTCCCGCACCCCCCTGTCCCCCCTTCCCCTCGCTTGGTAATCTACATGAGCAAGTTCGCAGCGGCCATACGGAGTTTCGCGTTTGTTCTTTCCCATCCAGCACCACTCTCCCAATCCCTCCCCTCTTTCCCCCTCCCCCGCCCCGCCTTCCCCCCTCTCCCTCACTCACGCAGTAACCTACATGAACAATTTCGCAGTAGCCATGTGGAATTTCCCACAGTTTGCGTGGGCTTCTGACGTGGCACCACCATGCCCGACTGGCAACTGGATTGGCGTGACATGCAACTCGGATAACTACGTCACTGACGTGTAAGGCTGAGCTGCACGCATAAGGTGCCTGTAATGAGTGCAACTCGGATAACTATCTGACTGACGTGTAAGGCAGAGCTGTACGTGGGGGGACCAGACACCGTGTTTGTTGTTACGGCTTTGGTCGGTGGGTGGATTAATGTCATCTGGTGAGTAGTCAGAAGAGCAGGAGCTTGGTTAGAAACGATATGGGTGTACTGACGTCAGGGTAGGTAGGTAGGTAGGTAGGTAGGTAGGTAGGTAGCTAGGTATGTAGGTAGGTGGGTAGGTGGCACGGTTTGTCTCTCATCTCAGGCTTGTTGAAACGCAATGTGATAACATTAACCTTTGATGATGCATCACTGCTGCTAGGATGATGCTGTGAGGTGCGTTGTCATTAAACTATGCTGGCTGACCCATGCCATTAAATTGCATGTTTCTGCGGCGCCTCTGCAGTGATTTGAGTGCGGGCAGTGTGTCCGGGAATTTCCCTCGGCTCAAGGGTCCGTTCTCATTCGACATTGCTGGTGTCATCTTCCTCAAGACCCTGTGAGTGCCTCGGAAGGGTTGGGCCGGCGGAAACGAAAGCGATAAAGCGATGCAGCGCTGCACGCTTGTACATTAGTCATGCGACTTCCCACGTCTCAAGGATCCGCCCTCGCTCGACATTGCTGCTGTCATCTTCCTCTCAAGAGCCTGTGACTACCATCCACCTTTGAATACCTTCCATCCACCTGTGACTACCATCCACCTGTGACTACCATCCGCCTGTGACTACCATCCACCTGTGACTACCATCCACCTGTGACTACCATCCACCTGTGACTACCATCCACCTGTGACTACCATCCACCTGTGACTACCATCCGCCTGTGACTACCATCCACCTGTGACTACCATCCGCCTGTGACTACCATCCGCCTGTGACTACCATCTATGCATGCCATTGCCATTGTGGCTCGCAGCTGTGGAGCGAATCTCTCCCCTTGGCCCTCTCAACGCGCATCCGCCCCCCTTCCCTCGCCCGTCCCTTTCTTTCGAATCCCTCCCCCCGCCTCTCCTCTTTCCTCCTGTCATCAACCCACCATTGCCCTCTTTCCCCTTCGACCATCTTTGCTTCTCCCATTCCCCATTCCCCATTCCCCGTTCCCCATACCCCATTTCCCATACCCCCCTCCCCCCTCCCCTCCCCACTCCCCACTCCCCATCCCTATCGCTCTGTGGCCGTTATCCTTCACCTGCAGACTCCCCTTATCTCCTCCCACTCCCCTAATCTCCCCCCACTCCCCTACTCTCCCCGCGCTCCCCCGCCCCCACTCCCCCGCTCCCTGTGCTTCCCCATTCCGTCTGCCGTCGCCCCACCCTGAGCAGGAACCTTGCGGGGAACAACCTTCAGGGGCCAATTGTAAGTCAGAACGGTAGCGTTTGGCATCAAACCAAATGAGGGCTCCAAGAAATGCTGCACCTGTAGCAATGCTACGCAGAAATTAGCTATTTTTATGCATACATAGCAGGAAGGAACGGTGTGGGGAAAAAACCCCAGAGGCCGTTGTAGAGTCAGACGGGTAACGTTTGGCACAAGGCGCGATAGGAGTGCAAAACGTTGCTGGGAACAATCCCCAGCGCCTAGAGCAAAGCAATAGCCTCCCCTCCCCCCCCTGCCAACCCTTTTCCTCGTCCTCGCATCAGCCAAGCGAGCTGGCTCTGTCGCCAAGCCTCTCCTCCCTCAACGTGGCCAATAACAGCCTCACAGGCCGGCTGTCTGAAGATTTGTGCAACCTCAACCTCACCTGCGTGTAAGTGCTTGTGACGGATGGCAGTACCCTCTCAACCTCACGCGTGTGTGAGTTCTGGGTTGAAAATGAGCTCTCATATAGCCTTACATGTATCACGGGCACTGTCGTCTAATCACACAGGCCGGCTGTCTTGACCTTCCACACACTCCCCCCCCCTCCCCTCCCTCCCCCCCGCTTTCCTCCTTCCCCGCAGCAACGTGATGGGCAACCCTCTCCGCGGACCCATCCCCTCATGCTGGAGGAACTTCACATGCCTTGAGTATGCCATGCCCATGCCCATGCCCATGCCATGCGTGAACTTTTCCTTGCAAGGTCGTTCCATTCCTGTTCCGTGTGCCACACGTTCCCGTGCACAACGAGTTGCCATATATATGCGGGGAGCATTGCATTGCAGTGCTGTGCTGTGTTGGGTTTCTGAGACTTCTCAAAAGCCTAAAGTGTGCCACACGTTCTTGGCACGATGAGTTGTTGGCATTTGTTTGCGATGCTCATGGGATGCGCTGAGCATTGCAGTCTTTACATCCCTGCATTGCTTGCCAGCCAACTGCTGTTTACATGCATGGGCATGCATGGGCATGCATCAGTGAATGAACTGCATAGCCTTCTGCATGCTTTGCTCAAATTCCCACCTTCTCCTCTCTCCCTTTCGCTCCTACATTCACCCCCGCTCCAACTTCCCCCCAACATCGCTATGCCTGCAGCTTTGCCAACACCAGCCTCATAGTTATCCCCAACGAAACATGCCAAGATGGTAAGCCTATGATGGTACATGCTTGGGTGGTGAGCCTATGATGGTACATGCTTGGGTGGTGAGCCCATGATGTACATGCTTGGGTGGTGAGCCGATGATGGTACATGCTTGGGGGGTGAGCCCATGATGGTACATGCTTGGGTGGTGAGCCTATGATGGTACATGCTTGGGTGGTGAGCCTATGATGGTACATGCTTGGGTGGTGAGCCTATGATGGTACATGCTTGGGTGGTGAGCCTATGATGGTACATGCTTGGATGGTGAGCCTATGATGGTACATGCTTGGTGGTGAGCCTATGATGGTACATGCTTGGGTGGTGAGCCTATGATGGTACATGCTTGGGTGGTGAGCCTATGATGGTACATGCTTGGGTGGTGAGCCTATGATGGTACATGCTTGGGTGGTGAGCCTATGATGGTACATGCTTGGGTGGTGAGCCTATGATGGTACATGCTTGGGTGGTGAGCCTATGATGAACATGCTTGGGTGGTGAGCCTATGATGAACATGCTTGGGTGGTGAGCCTATGATGAACATGCTTGGGTGGTGAGCCTATGATGAACATGCTTGGGTGGTGAGCCTATGATGGTACATGCTTGGGTGGTGAGCCTATGATGGTACATGCTTGGGTGGTGAGCCTATGATGGTACATGCTTGGGTGGTGAGCCTATGATGGTACATGCTTGGGTGGTGAGCCTATGATGGTACATGCTTGGGTGGTGAGCCTATGATGGTACATGCTTGGATGGTGAGCCTATGATGGTACATGCTTGGGTGGTGAGCCTATGATGGTACATGCTTGGGTGGTGAGCCTATGATGGTACATGCTTGGGTGGTGAGCCTATGATGGTACATGCTTGGGTGGTGAGCCTATGATGGTACATGCTTGGGTGGTGAGCCTATGATGGTACATGCTTGGGTGGTGAGCCTATGATGAACATGCTTGGGTGGTGAGCCTATGATGGTACATGCTTGGGTGGTGAGCCTATGATGAACATGCTTGGGTGGTGAGCCTATGATGGTACATGCTTGGGTGGTGAGCCTATGATGGTACATGCTTGGGTGGTGAGGTGATGACGAACATGTGGCTAGCCCCCCAGCCCCCCACCCCCCCCCCCAGTCCCGCCTCTAAATGTAGCTGAAGCTGCCCCTGACTGATCTGCCTCTTCTGCCAACATTGCTGCCATCATTGGGGGGTTGGTGGGGGGCGCCGTGGCGTTCGTAGCGCTGCTGATTGCTCGCCCCCCTGGCAGAAGAGGCAGATCAGCAGCGCCAATGGGGGGGCAGCGTGGCGTTCGTGGCGTTCGTAGCGCTGCTGATTGCTCTGCTCTCTCCTGGGGGCATGGCGCCAGTGAAACATCTCCCCCGACTCTCAAACACATCTGGTCTCGTCTCCCCTGTCTTCCTGCCAAACCTGCCCCCCAACCCGCCAACAACACCCAGTCCCCTACCACAGCTGCAAGGCAACCCCCCGTTAGCCATTGCTGAAGCTCCCCCTTCCGCCGTTTCCTCCTCAGTCAACATCGTTGCCATCATCCGGGGGGGAAGGGGGGGGGGGTGGGGGGTGTTGGGGGAAGCGGCATTGGTCACCTTGCCCTTCATCCTCCCTCAATGCTTTTCCTTTTTTTCCTCCACTCCCTGACCCACCTCCCTTCTCGTCTCCCCTTTTTCCCTCCCCCCCTTCCCCCTCCCCCCCTCCCCCTCACCCCCCTGCCCCTCCCGCACCCCCGAAACACCCAGTCCCCTACCACAGCTGCAACCCCCCACTAGCCATTGCTGAAGCTCCGCCTTCCGCCGCTGCCTCTTCCGCCAACATTGCTGCCATCATCGGAGGGGTGGTTGGGGGCGCGGCATTCATAGCGCTGCTGGTTGCCGGGGGAATGGTGCTGGTGAAGCATCTTGAGAGGAAGAGGAAGGAGGAGGAGGAGAGGCGGCTGGAGCAAGACCTTGAGAGTGAGTGCTGTGCTTGCTTGTGCTTGCTAGTGCTTGCTCGTGCTTGCTCGTGCCTGCTTGAAAGTCGGTTGTGTTTTGGGTGATTAGGGGGCTTTTAGGGGGCTTTTGGGGGCTTTTTGGGGGCTTTTGGGGGGCTTTTTGGGGCCTGTTTGGGGGCTTTTTGGGGGTTTTTTGGGGGCTTTTGGGGGGCTTCTGGGGGGGATTTTGGGGGGCTTTTTGGAGTTCCTGGCAGTTCCCGTTGGTGATGGTATGGTGCTGGTGAAGTGAACCATCTTGAGATGAAGCATTGCGGTGCGGCACATTGAGAGGCGGTACGCCAGTACTCAGTGGAGGAGCTGCGGCATGCACGCGGAGTTTTTTGTTGAGGCGTCTCCAAAGTAGACTCCTCACGTTAAGGGAGGCGGGACTCAGTGCAGGAGCTACTGCAGCCTGCAGGCCACCAACGGGTCTAGTTTCCCTCCTCCCCCATCCTCTTCTGGGTGTATTTTGAGTCGACTCAAAAGGTACCTCATCCCCCATCCTCTTCTGGGTGTATTCTGAGTCGACTCAAAATGTACGTCCTCCCCCATCCTCTTCTTCCCACCTGCCCTCCGCAGAGGAGCTGCTGAAGGCGACCAAGGGGTTTGATGAGGACTATGTGCTGGGCGAGGGCGGGTTCAGCAAGGCGTACAAGGGCAAGCTGGACGAGGGGTCTGCGCATTCCCCCCTGCACCACCATCTCTTTCCCACCACAACCCTCCCTTCCCCTCCCCCCCCCCTTTCTTGCCCCTCCCTCTCCTCCCCTTCCCCCCCCCCTTCTTGCCCCTCCCTCTCCTCCCTTCCCATCTGATGCTGCCAGCCCAAATCTCGTCCCGTCACTTCGGGACTCTGCGGCGGTACTCAGCAGAGGAGCTGCTGAAGGCGACTAATGGGTTCGACGAGGACTATGTTTTGGGCGAGGGCGGGTTCAGCAAGGTGTACAAGGGCAAGCTGGAGGACGGGAAGTTTGTGGCTATAAAGAGGATCAAGGTGAGGCGGTTTGTGGGGGGGAACCGAGAGGGAGGGGTGCTTTGGTTTTTAGCCGCGGATCGGTGGCTTAACGCTGGGCGAGGGCAGGCTCAGCAAGGTGTACAAGGGCAAGCTGGAGGACGGGAAGTTTGTGGCTATAAAGAGGATCAAGGTGAGGAAGGGCAGTCTGTGGCTGGCAGGTGCGTGCGGTGTGGCAGGTGCGTGCGGTGTGGCAGGTGCGTGCGGTGTGCAAGCTTTGCAGCGCCTCAAAAGTAAAGTCCTACCACGTGCAGTGTGCAAGGTATCTGAAGAGGGTTCAGCAAGGTGTACAAGGGCAAGCTGGAGGACGGGAAGTTTGTTGCCATCAAGAGGATCAAGGTGAGGAAGGATCAATGTAATCCGTGAGATCCCTGTCCCTTTCGAAACGAGCGTACCTCTGTGATCTTGTCTTTTCCCGTTGTTTCGTTGCCAATCGTGCGTGCACTCCATGTTTGTACCCCTTTGTATCTCAAACATCCCTGTGTGCGCACCACATTCCGGTTGCAAAAGCCCCTCTTCCCCCAAGTCTGCTCCCCGCCCCGCAGGACGAGAAGTGCGCTTCCTCAGGTGGCAAGCCGCAGGTCCTACTGGGAGAGGTGGCGTCTGAAGTTGATCAGCCGGGCCGTGTGTCAGCCTCCCGTCCCGCCTTCCTTCCCTCAAAGACTCTCTCTTTCACTCCGTTCCCATCAGAACGACAAGCGGGCGGGCGGCGGGCTCCAGGTCCTTTCAAAGATGGGGCTCATCAGCTGGGCCGTACATCGGAACCTCAATTTAACCCCTGCCTTCCCGTTTCACACTGCAGGGGGGGCGGGCGGCGAGCTGCAGTTCCTGTGCGAGATGGAGCTCATCAGCTGCGCTGTGCACCAGAACCTCATTCCTTTCCCTTACCCCGTCGCGCTCTCTCTTCCTCTCCGTGTTGTTCTCTGCTCTGCACAGGACGAGGAGCATGCGGGCGGCGAGCTGCAGTTCCTGTGGGTGGGAGGTCGAGATAATCAGCCGCGCCGCGCTGTGCACCGCAACCTCAATTTTTACCCCCACACGCTCTCCCTTTTCTCCCATTCCCATTTCTCAACAGGACGAGAAGCGGGCCGGTGGCAAGCTGTAGTTCTTGTCGGAAGTGGAGATGATCAGCCGCACTGTGCACCACAACCTCATCCGCACCAAGGGCTTGGCTTGCCCTCTGATCCTATACTCCGGCTCTCCCACCCTCTCCCCCTGCCTTCCCACCCATCCTATACCCCCACACTACAGGACGAGAAGCGTGCAGGCGGCGAGCTGCAATTTCTTTCTGAGGTGGAGATGATCAGCCGCGCCGTGCACCGCAACCTCATCCGCGCCGAGGGCTTCTGTGTGGAGCTGGGCGAGTGCATGCTCGTACTGCCCTTCTGCTCCAATGGCTCGGTGGCGTCCCGCACTCAAGGTGGGATACAGTGCGGTGATGCTGGGTGGGGGGGCGCATTTGCGCTGATGGCTTCTGTGTGGAGCTGGGCGAGTGCATGCTCGTGCTGCCCTTCTGCTCCAATGGCTTTGTTGGCTCGCGCACTCAGGGCGACATTGCGTTTAGTGCGGCTCAGTGTGGTGACTTTTGAGTTGACTGCTTAAGTCACTTCGTGCTGTGCTCAGCTGAGCGAGTGCAAGCTCATGCTGCCCTCCTGCTCAGACGACCATGTTGCTTCCCACACTCAGGGTGAGATATAGCTGGGCTGGGTTGAGTGCGGTGAACCTGTGTTGAGCAGGGCGAGTGCATGCGCGTGCTGCCCTTCTGCTCTGTCGGGTCTGCAGCCTCCCAAACGCAAGGTGAGATGAAGTTGGATCGTCTATGGCTCGATGAGTCATCTCACATGTCTCACCGAGGGCTTCCCTGTGGACCTGGGCGAACAGCAAACGGCATAGCAGGGAAGGGGAAGGCGTCAGGTATTGAAGAGAGAACAGCATCACTCACCTCTCTTCAACCCCTCCTCTCCTCCCTGTTCATTCTCTTGTGCTTGCTTGTTTCCCGCCAGGCGAGGGAAACCCCATTGGCTATGCTCCTCTCTCCATCTGTCGTCACCTGTGTTCTCCCAAACCCCACCACCCCCCCCCCCCCCCCCCCCCCCCTTTTTTTCCCCCCCCCCAAACGTCAGGCAGGGAGGGCAACCCTATGGACTGGCCAACACAATTGAAGGTGGCACGAGGGGCGGCAGACTGGGTGGCGTATCTGCACACGGACTGCAAGCCGACGCTCATTCACCCTCCCCTCCCTGCGTGTTCCTCTCCCTCCTATCTGGTGGCTCTCCGCCAGGCAAGGAGGGCAACCCCATGGACTGGCCGACACGAGTGAAGGTGGCCAGAGGGGCAGCAGAGGGGGTGGCTTATTTGCACACAGACTGCAAGCCCAAGCTGGTGCACCGCGATATCAAGGTGTGGGAGGGGGGGTGTGTGCTGTATGGGGTATGATCCATGCTGCATGGTTGATGATGTGTGTTGTAATGTTTGTGTTGTAATTTGTGTGTTGTATGCTGTATGCTGTATGCTGTATGATGTATGATGTACGGTGTATGCTGTATGCTGTATGCTGCATGCTGTATAAAGCTTGTCGTATGGTGTTTGCTGTTTGCTGGATGCTGTATAGTGTATGTTGTATGGTGTATGGTGTATGCTGTACCCATCCTCTACCCATCCCCTGCTCGTCTCTTACCCATCCGCCAGGCGGCCAACGTGTTGCTGGACGAGAACGACGAGGCGGTCATTGCTGACTTTGGGCTGGCCAAGGAGATGGGCGTGCATGAGACGCACGCCACCACTGCCGTCAAGGGGACCATTGGCCATATTGCACCAGGTGCGCCTTGTGTCCTGTATTGGGGCGGTGTATATGGTGGATGCGAGGGGTGGGGTAGTCATTGCTGACTTTGGGCTGGCCAAGGAGATGGGCGTGCATGAGACGCACGCCACTACTGCCGTCAAGGGGACCATTGGGCATATTGCACCAGGTGCGCCTTGTGTCCTGTATTGGGGCGGCGTATATGGTGGATGAGAGGGGTTTAGGTGGATATCGCATCGCATTTTGTCTTATCGCACGTGATATCGCAGCGATGCGATATCGCATCGCTGCGATATTCTGTTTCAAAATTTGAAATCGCATAGCGCTTTTTAGGGTGCGATGTTACAAAATATCGCACCCATGAATGCGATACATCGCGCGATGCGATTTAATATCGCATCGCATTTAGGGGTCGGAGGAGAAAAGCAGAACGACAAGGCCGACTTTCCTAGGTGCGCGAGGAACTAGGTGAGTGAAGTTTAACGGGAGAATGGGATATCGTAGCCCCTCTCTGATGTAAAGCGTGGATTCCGTAGATGTGGAGGAATGTAGTGCGGTTGAAGTGGTGGAAATTGGTTGGACTTCCAACCAATTGACTTAGTGGGGGTCGAGATTTCAATCAACCCCCTAAATCCCTTTGACCGCACACCACCACATTCCATCCACCACCGCCCATGTCAATTTTTGAACCTCCAACCAACTCCCTCCCCTCAACCGCACTGCACTCCTTTTCAACTAGAATTTCCAACCTTTCCAGCTCCTCACAAACACCTCCCCGTCAATTACGCCAACCCCAAACAGCCGCGCACAATTTCCGCACGCCATTACAACCAGAGAACCCTAATTTTTGCTAAGTTCAAGGCCCACGCCCATGTTCCCCCCCCTTTCTGGCGCAATTCCGCGACGCGATATGCGGATGTATGGCGCGCGATATTTTAATATCGCATATCGCGTTATATCGCGCTGAAAAATCCGCAATAACTGCGCGATATCGCAAAAATCGCGCGATATTATCGCATCGCATCGCTGCGATTCTTTACTTAAACAAAAAAAAAAATCGCAATCGCAAAATGCGATAAAATGCGATGCGATGCGATATACCCCACCGTGGGGTGGTCATTGCTGACTTTGGGCTGGCCAAGGAGATGGGCGTGCATGAGACGCACGCCACCACTGCCGTCAAGGGGACCATCGGCCACATCGCCCCGGGTGAGGGCTGCATTTGGCTTATAAGGTGTGCCTCGATTTCCTTAAACGCATGCCAAGCCAAGGAGATGGACGTGCATGAGACACACGCCACCATTTCCGTCAAGGGGACCATCAGCCACATTGCTCCTGGTGAGGGTTGCATTGGGCGTATAACCCTAGGTTTGCCTTGACTCCCTTCAAAGCATGCCAAGCCAAGGAGATGGACATGCACGAGACAAACACCACCACTGCAGTCAAGGGCACCAGTGAACGCAAATCCCCAGGTGTGTGTATTGTATCGCCGGAGAGCCTGGTAAGTAGTGCTTTCACCCAATACCCCCTCTCCCATCCCCTAGAGTACTCTTTCGTTCAGGCAGTGCTCTGATACCTCTTCTCCCTCCTATGTCCTCCCCCTCCTCCACTCTCCTTCTTTCCCCCCCCCCCCCCTTCTCGATACCCCAGAGTACTTTGTGTCGGGGCAGTGTTCGGAGAAGACGGACGTGTATGCCTTCGGGGTCTTCCTGCTGGAGCTCGTCTCGGGCAAGGACGTGTACGGGCTCACAGTTGTTCCTGAAGCCGAGGAGATTCTGCTGAGGGACTGGGTGAGTTGTTTCCTGCCTTTGTATTGCTCCATGTTGTCGTGCTGCGCCCTTCCCTTAATCCTTCTTCCTCTCTCCCTGCTGGAGCTCGTCTGAGGCAAGGACGTGTACATACGGGCTCACTGTTGTTGTTCCTGAGGCTCAGGGGATTTTGTTGGTGGAGGGCAAGGCGGATGTGCTGGTGGGCTGCTCTGCCTCGCAATGCTCACCCTTTCATTACCACCCCAACCCCTTCCGTGCCCCCTCCCCCCTCCCCTTTTCCTGCCCCCTCTCTCCTCCCCTTGCAGGTGTCCCGTCTGCTGGTGGAGGGCAAGGCGGACGTGCTGGTGGACTCGGAGGTGAAGGAAGGAGAGGGTGGATTAGACATGGCGCAGCTGGAGCAGGCGCTGCAGGTGGCGACCCCTGGGTATACAACCCCCACGCCCACCCTATCTCTCCTGCCCCCAGGTGTCTCGCCTGCTGGTGGAGGGCAAGGCGGATGTGCTGGTGGACTCGGAGGTGAAGAAGGGCGATGGAGGGCTGGACATGGCGCAGGTGGAGCAGGTGCTGCACGTGGCGCTGCTCTGCCTCAAGAACGACCCGGCTGAACGCCCCACCATGGAGGATGTGGCCAAGATGGTGTCAGGGAGCGAGCTCACAGAGAAGTGGCAGCAGTGGCAGGTGAGAGGTGGTCCGGGGATTATGCAGGTGTAGTGTCTTGGTGCATAGATCTGCCTCAAGAACGACCCGGCTGAACGCCCCACCATGGAGGATGTGGCCAAGATGGTGTCACGGAGCGAGCTGACAGAGAAGTGGCAGTAGTGGCAGCTGAGTAGGTGAAAGAGAGGGGACACACATCCACACACACCGCCGCACTCACACTCTCTGGAATGGTTGCTGCAGTCAGATGTGCCTGCTGCTTGACTCTTGATTTCCCGCCACTCCAAACTCTAACCATTTTGCGCCACCTTGATGTTTTCCAGGCTGAAGCGGGGGCCATGCGAGCGGAGGACCTCATGGCTGTCGTCAAGAACCCTTCGCTCTGGGAGAACACCACAACCGGGATTTCACTCGATGCCTTCAATGTTTCCGGGCCTCGTTGAAGTCTCCACGTGCGTTTGGACGTATTGTGGTCGTATTGCGTGCTTAATGGGAGTTATTTGCTGTAGGAAAATATGCTTTCAGTTAAGTGGCTGTATTGTTATTTAAGCACAACCTTTAGTGCCATGATGCATGTAGAGCAATGTTACTTGCAGGGGTGAGGCCAATTCCAGTTATCGAGACACGAACAAACAAGGAAACTCGGGCTGCGTTTATGGGGGAGCTGGAAGGAAACTTTCGCGTCGGGGATATTTATGGTACCTGACGTGGACTATACCCATTCCACGGCCGTAATCGCGTCTCCATCCGACTCAGCAGCGCAATCTCCCCTCCCCACCCCAGGTTCGCCACTTCGATTTTATTGTCCCTCACGCACTGCGTGGTGGTGAGGATACACTCTACCTGCGACGTTACCGACAAGTTTGACCAGGCTGCGACTGCGACTTTGGACGACGAGTAGGCGGGCATTGTCGCCCTTCACCGCAGCCGAGTCCCTCCCAAGCAGGCAAGGGGCTTTTTTGTGTGCCCCTTTGCTTTCTGCCAAAGCTACGTCGGAGCGTAGCGTCCCCGATGTCCGAACCAACACTGCTGTCAAAATGCAGTTTTCGCAGCAGGTGCTTCATGCCTTTGGCGAACCGTAGTTGGTCAGCCCAGAAAATGCCATCTCTGCTCTAATTGGTCCTATCAAACCACACCTCCAAATTTCCTCCCTTCTCTGGGCAGATGCTGTCGCCGCCACTCTGTCCCGCCAGGCAGGCGCAAGTCCCAGATTGGCTCTCCGCTCCCCCACTGCGCATAATTCCGCCTGCTGTGCCGCGCTGTGTGTGTGTCGCCAAAGCAAGCAGCATGGGGGCCCTTCCGCCAGCGCGCTGTCCCCTTCGTTCCCCCCTCCCTGCTCATTTGTTCCGCAACCGTCAGGGTGAAGGTACCACCAAACCAAACATTTCAGGGAAGCTGCGGTTTGGTGAGCTTGGCTTTCCTCGTGATGCTCATGACGCAAGAAAGCACTGCCTGATCATCAACTGATCCTCCATAGCTCCCTGTTAGCACTGCATGTGGCGGGTGAAGTCAGAATGTTTGACTGCAGCTGATGCGTTCAGCTTGCCTTGTGTAGTTCAGGGTGTTGGTTCACGGGACCAACAGCCGACCAAGATATATTAACGGGAGCCTTGGGGTTCTCGTTTAGCTTTGACAGAGTCTTGTCAGATTGTGCCTACGAAAATAGTAGCTATGGAAGAAGCTACCGAGTCGTGTGTCCCGAGCCATGACGAGGGTTGCTGCTCGCACAGCAACATGTGGGATCGCGTGAAGAAGCGGTATAAGCTCTGTGATTTCAGCGCTCTTCCTGACTACCTGCGAGACAACGAATACATTCATGGATATTACCGAGCTAACTGGCCTCTAAAACACACCCTATGGAGCATCTTTCATATTCATAACGAGACCGGAAATATTTGGTCGTAAGTCATATCTGACCCTCGCTAAACTTCTCCTTTTATGAACCTTTCATTCACGTTCGAAACAGTCATTATTTCGTCCTCGGTTCTGCAGCATCGACTTTCAGGAGTATCCTTGCTTATTATTCGTTGCTGGCTGGTTGCAGGCACCTTATCGGATTCATCCTGTTCCTAAACCTGACCATCTACACGGCTCAGAAGTTTCCGAGCGTGGTTGAGATTCCGTTGTCCCACCTCCATTTCCCTGAATCCTGGGTCAACGCGACAGAAAGCATCCATGCACATCTCCAGCACATGGAGCTTCCAGATTTCCGTCCCATCCGGGACGCGATCACCTCCATGGAGTTTCCGAATCTCAACGCCATGTACAACTCCCTCCCACATGTCGAGCTCTCTGGGATTTCCGGAATTTCGACCTCCATTTACGATGCGATGCCTCACGTCCCTAACATGCACGAGATGCAGAGCATGCTTTCAGCGGTCATGAAGTCGAACCTTCCAGACCTAGACACGGCGAAGCTCCAGGCGATGCTTCCTCACCTAGAGCTGCCTAAGCTCCAGCAGATTCAGGCGGCTCTCCTGTGGTACTACGGCTGCGTCTATCGCTACGCCAGCACGGCTATGGAGTCCTCGCCGGCTCTGCTTACCAGTCCACTGTGGAATGATCATGGCGTCTTTGGAAATTGCGTAAGCGTTTGTTCTCCGTACATCCCCATGCCTCGGTAACTTGTCTTCTCGCCGTGCTATCTCCCTTCCTTCTGATACCTCGCTCCTCCTTTCTGCATCCTTCCTATGTATCTGTGATCACTTATGTTCCACTGTCCCCCTTCCTCCCTTTATCCACTCACTCATTCTCCGCCTTCTCATCCCCCTACAATCCCCTCCCCGCTTGACCCTGGTGCAGTCTCTTTCGGAGAGCCCTTCGTTCGTGCTAGGACCAGTCAAGACCCACCGCAATATCCCCATGTGGCCGTTTTTCATCTTCCTCACGGGTGCCATGATCTGCCTGCTCTCCAGCAGCACCTGCCACCTCCTGGGCTGCCACTCCAAGAAAGTCTCCCAGATCATCTGGCGATTCGACTACGCTGGAATCGCCATCCTCATCTGTGCATCCTTCTACCCGCCAGTCTACTACGGCTTCCTCTGCCACCCATACGCCCAGCTCACCTACCTCATCCTGATATCCCTTGGCGGTTTGGGAACTGTCGCTGCCTCTCTTCTCCCTGCCTTCCAAAAACCTAAGTACCGGGCTGTTCGTGCAGGGCTGTTCTTTGGACTCGGAGTCTCTGGTGCGATTCCGTTTCTCCACGGCCTGCTGCTCTACTGGCATGAACCGTTTCTCGTTACAACTCTCTTGTACGAGCTGCTTATGGGAGCACTTTACGGCATCGGAGCTCTCTTTTATGCCACCAGGGTTCCGGAGCGATGGCTACCTGGCAAGTTTGACATAGCGGGACACAGCCACCAGATCTTTCATGTGCTTGTGATTGCTGGGGCGTACACGCACTACCAGGCTGCCTTGAGATACCTGCAGTGGGTAGATGGCCGCACATGCTGAACCCTCGTTTGAGCTGCCTCAAACTTTGTACAATACCAACCCCGGTTGCCTTGAGATACCTGCATCCAGTGTCTGTTGGGCTGAGAAATGCCCTTAGGATCTTTCCAGAGACTAAGTCCTAGTTGTAAAGGAGACTTGAGTAGTGCAGCAGAAGTTGAGTAGTTGAACCCTTTGTCAGAAACCCAGTCACTAACCACTGGGTTAAAGGGGCTTGTTAAAGCCCGTGGCTATAATAGCAATCAAGAGGGCTGTTTAATTTGCTCTTGAACTTGGCACATGACTTGATCTTTAGAGTAAACGAAACAGGATAAAAACATTTCGTTTTGCAAAGCGGAATCTGACCGTGGCGGTTTGGCGACAGTTTTTGCACGAAACCATTCGGTGAACAGTGCAATACGCGTCGTGCGGCCGAATTCGTGGTTCCGTGAACAATGAAAATGCGAGAAGAACTGTGTTTTTTTGGCGAACAGTAGCTGATTCCGGAATTGCAGACCTGGAAATCACTTGAATTCCCCACTCATAATGCGCCTGTATTTCCTCGTCGCAAGCTGCTCGCCCAAGCCCGTCGTAGAAACTCTATGCGATGCACACAGTGTTTTTTAGCAATTCGCATCCAAATGATCGTGTCGCAACAAACAGCAAAACGAGTTCTTTCGCCATTCCTCCAATCAGCAAGCTCGACCAGAATTTGTTTCGACACACTTTTCTTGTTCAGGCTTGGAACTCAAAGCTGCCTTCCATTCTATACTTAGACGGATTTCAAAGCACCAAATTCAAGTGGTTTCCAGGTCTGCTATTATAGTCGGGGGCTTTAAATAGCGGGTAAGTGCGCCCATAGCCCCCCAGGCTCTGCACCAGTGGCCCTTCTCCGAGGATCTTTTTTTAAGGGTAACCCAGCGGGTCACTCGACACCCCCCCTCGCTGGGATAGGTGGAAGACACGAGCGCCTCTGCAGCGCTAGCACTGGGACTAGAACCCAAGACCTTTGGCTCTGATACCATGTCAGAAACCCAGTTACTAACCACTGGGTTAAAAGGGCTTGTTAAATAGCGGGTAAGTGCGCCCATAGCCCCCCAGGCTCTGCACCTGTGGCCCTTCTCCGAAGATCTTTTTTTAAGGGTAACCCAGCGGGTCACTCGACACCCTTGTACTAGTATATGAGAACAAGTGATTGATTAAAACCACAGGCTAAAATAGCATAGGGGGGGCTTCAAGTGAGCCACTCTTGAAGTGGGGGCATCTGTGAAAAAGTTGGGTTGCTAGAGCGAAATTGCCATTGAAATTTTTTACAAACTGGGCATATAAGAACCCACCATAAGCCACACCTACGGAAGGATGGGCGATTTCGGAACGTGTGCGATGAGGTCCCAAACCCATGCGCGACAGTTCCAACAGAGAAGAAAGCTGCAGCTGGGGCGTGTTCATTCTGGTGAAGTAAATCTCTTCACCCTGTTCGGAAACGTCGGGATACAGGGCGGAGACGCCTCTTGGAGTGAAATCAGCTGCGAAAGCATGGCAGCGGCGTCAAGTGCGAACACGCTCGTCAGGATTTTCCAACACTTTGACTGGAAGCGCCAAAATACTCGTATCCAAAAACACCGTACCACACAGTATGATTTTTTTTTTTTTAATTACCTATCCAAATGTATTGTTCATCACAATGGTCATGAGAAAACGAGCGTTCGCAATCTGAATGCAAGTAAATGCAAATTGTTTCTTGGTGCAATAGGTTGTAAAGTTGGGTTGCACTCATGAATGGATGCAAAATAACAAAAATTTGTCAGTTGAATCAGCAAGACTTGCACACCATACCCTTGGTGCCAGAACTGCAGCGGATGGCTGCCAGGATGGGTCGGCAAAAGGAGGGGGAGTAAAAAACAGGGGGTAAATGCTGGATGACTAGTAGAGGCATACAGCCACAGTAGAGCGGGCGACCAAGTGGGTGAACAATAGGGTTGAAGGGGAAACTGGTTGAGAGGTGGGGAGAAGCGATTGCAAAATAGGTGACCTAAAGAGGAGCAAAATCGAGGGCATAAGTGAAAGGGGTAGTGGATGGGGGAAATGCTTGACAGGGTGGGAGAAAAGGGGAGGGAGGATGGGGGAAAGGATGGGATAGCGGAGCGAGGTAGGGAGGTGGGCGTGCAGCAAAGAGCAGGGGAGACAGCAGAGAGCGGGCGGGCAGCAGAGAGCAGGGGGGACAGCAGAGAGCGGGCGGGCAGCAGAGAGCCGGGAGGACAGCAGAGAGCGGGTGGGCAGCAGAGAGCAGGCTCCTCTCCCTCTCACCCTGCCTCTCCTCACCCTCACATCCGCCTCTCCCCGCTCTCTCATCCGCCTTCCCTCAACCTCTCCCACACCTCGCCCTTGGTTACCCCTCTGCCACTTGCCCTCTCCCCCCTTCCCCTCGCCCTCCGTTCTCTGCCCTCCTCACTCTCCCTTGCTCTCTTCTCGCCCTCTCATCCCCGTCTCCTTGCCATCCGTTCCCCCTCTCCTTGCCGTCCGTTCCCCCTCTCCTTGCCGTCCGTTCCCCCTCTCCATGCCGTCCGTTCCCCCTCTTCTCGCCGTCCGTTCCCCCCCTCGTCGCCGTCCGTTCCCCCTCTCCTCGCCGTCCGTTCCCCCTCTCCTCGCCGTCCGTTCCCCCCCTCGTCGCCGTCCGTTCCCCCTCTCCTCGCCGTCCGTTCCCCCTCTCCTCGCCGTCCGTTCCCCCCCTCCTCGCCGTCCGTTCCCCCTCTCCTCGCCGTCCGTTCCCCCCCTCGTCGGCATCCGTTTCCCCTCTCCTCGCCGTCCTTTCCCCCCCTCCTCACCGTCCGTTCCCCCTCTCCTCGCCGTCCGTTCCCCCCCTCGTCGCCATCCGTTCCACCTCTCCTCGCCGTCCGTTCCCCCTCTCCTCGCCGTCCGTTCCCCCCCTCCTCGTCGTCCGTTCCCCCTCTCGTCGTCGTCCGTTCCCCCCCTCGTCGCCGTCCGTTCCCCCTCTCCTCGCCGTCCGTTCCCCCTCTCCTCGCCGTCCGTTCCCCCCCTCGTCGGCATCCGTTTCCCCTCTCCTCGCCGTCCGTTCCCCCCCTCGTCGCCGTCCGTTCCCCCTCTCCTCGCCGTCCGTTCCCCCCCTCGTCGCCGTCCGTTCCCCCTCTCCTCGCCAATCCTAGATCGTCCCACTATTGACGCCACTACTACTCCCGAGGTCGCCTTTTCGCGAGGCTAAAACACTCTATACGTAGCGAGGGGTGTTGTACGTCGATGAGCGGGCGGATATTTTTTTATGACTTGTGTAGTGGCAGCTATGGCTTCCTACGAGTGATAAACTACTAGATAATGGACTTCAGGAAACCTGCTGCACACCCATGGAGCTCTTGAACGACGGGATGTGGGGTGTGGTCGCATGGAGTGCATTTTGGTTGAGTTGTGCGACTCTTGGGCTTGTCGCACCGTGTTCAACCGAAGTCGTGTACCAGCAGGGTGAGTCGTGGCCATCTCGCGATGGTTCAAACTGTCGCACTCCTTTTTTTTTCGTTTCGTTTGGTACAAAGTGCTCCAGGCTGGGCGGTATATTCTGACCCCCAAAAAACAGAGTTTTCAAGAGCACCCAGGGTGTGCTTCTTTAGCCTGTGGTTTTAAAAGAACAAGCATACAGCAATATATAGAAAGTAGGAAAGCAAGCAGTTGTAGAATACATTTGAAGGAGCGGTTGTCGAGTCGCACAGTGACTTGATTGTCGCTTCGGTTACCATCCTTGCAGTTGTAACGGTCAGTCGCAACCTCCGATTGCGGCCCTTCGAGTCCTTTCGTGTTCCTTGTCCATCCCCTTGTGTAACCTCCGTTGACTCGCGTACCCGTTACGATCTTCCTCGAGTGTGGTGTTACACTTCAGAAACGCTGAAGTCCTTGAGGTATTTCCAACACTCCCCTTCGTTTCTGGAGTGCTGACGTGTTCAGATCCGGTGACGTTTGTCTGCCCGGTCAGCAGCATGCAGTAATCGAACTTTGCCTTCGCCAGTTTCTTCGTCAGGTAGTCTGCGGCCATTTCTGTCGTAGGGCAGTAACTGAGTTGAAGTCTCCCCTTCGCGATTTCATCCTTGACGAAGAAGTACCGCAGGGCAATGTGCTTGGTTCGGTTGGCGAAGCTGTCCTTGTTCGCGATTTTGATCGCAGATTGGTTGTCGCAGAGGAGTGAGAAGACGGGCAGGGTCGCAATCTTTGCTTCCTCGAGTAACTCTCGCAGGTAAAGTCCTTCCTTGGTCGCAGTGCAGAGGGCGATATATTCTGCTTGAGCCGAAGATAGTGCGATTAGTTCCTGTTTGCTCGACTGCCAGGAGATAGTCCCGATAGGCTCTAGTCGGTAGATGTAGCCCGTTCTTGAGTGTCGATTTTCCCTGTCTCCCGCGTGGTCGGCGTCGACGTATCCGAGTAGTTGTACGGACGATGTTGTTTCTTTACTGTAGGTAAGTCCGGTCGTCGGCGTAGAGACGAAGTAGAGTAGTGCCCGATTTAGTTCCTCGAGATCTTCTTGTTCCGGCTGCTTCAGATGCGTCGCCAGTTGGTTCGCGCTGTAGGATAGGTCAGGTCGGCAGGTTACTGCTGCGAATAGTAGGCATCCGAGCTTCTGCTGATACTCCTGGATTTGCTTCGCGGGGAGTTTTGCGGAGGTGTCGTTGTTGTTCCCGTAGCGGTAGGGAGTCGTGACTGTAGTCGGGGTTAGTCCGAATTTCTTCGCGACAACGCCTGTGTATTTTCCAGCATATAGGTAGAACGCCGAGTTGTCTTCGACGACGTTCAGACCTAGGTACTGGGTCACGGTGTCAGACACCGGGAGCGTCAAGTCGCTTCTCAGCTCCCCTTCGAACCAGGTGGCGATGTCGGTAGTGGAGCCGATGTAGAGCAGGTCGTTGACGTAGACGATGAGTAGGATAAAGTCATTTTCCTTCTGGAGTCGGTACATGCCTTGGTCGTGCGGCAGCTGTAGGAACCCGATTCTGACGAGGCGACCGTGAAGATGCTGCTGCCAAAGCCGCGGGGCTTGCTTGATCCCGTCAAGGGATTTTATCAGCTGGAATACTTTTGTGGAGTCGTCGATGAATCCGTGGGGCTGCTCGACGAAGATCTCGGCGTCCACAGGTGCGTATAGGAAGGCATTTGCAACGTCAATCTGGCGCAGTGGTAGTTTCTTCGTGGCCACGACGG